CGCGGCAGCATGCCCGGGAGCCGGCGGAGGTGAGCCTGTGCCCCAACGTCCCCCGTCCCAGCTCTGAGCCCCCCCAACCCAGAAACCCCTCCTGCACCCCAAGCCCCTCCTCCCCATCCCATGGCCTGCACCCCCAGAGCCAGCTCCCCGTGCACCCCAACCCCCAGCCCAGAGTCCCCATCCACATACTGAACCCCTCTGCCCCCCAAACCTCTCATCTCTGGCCCCACCCCAGAGCCAACACCCCCAGGCAAAGCATTCAACCCCCACACCCTCCTTCACCCCAGACCCCTCTTCTCTGGCCCCACCCCCAGGCAAAGCGTTCACCCCCCGCACCCTCCCTCACCGCAGACCCCTCATCCCCGCAGCCTGCACACTAGTCAAAAGACATAATCACGCTGGCGACAGGCATCAACAATTTACCTCAACGGGGTTGTGAGGAAAAAAAAGGCTGAAGCCCATGGCAGTAGCACCTAGAGGTGCCAGCCGGCACAGTGAGGGCCCTGTAGGGACAGCCACGGCTCTTCTGCGCTGAGGGGTTCACCAGCAAAGGAGACGGGTGTACCTATTCCCCCCGCCCCGCATCGTACCTGTTGGGGACGGAGGTCCAGAGAGAGGAAGGGGCTTGCCTGAGAGTTGGGACACAGAACGGCTCCAGCGCTAGCAGCCTGGCGCCTCAGCGCAGCTGGCTGGCTTCTCCATAAATCACCAGCGCGAGAGAAATCGCTGTAAAAACTCTGGCGCGTTGCATAGCACTTCCGAGGACAACTCCAGCGCCTTGGCAGGTCCACCTCTCCCGTAGGTCGAAGGCACGGCTCCGGCTGGTGAGAAGGGACGGCAAACTGCTTGCCTAGGGAGACACCCGTCCTCTGGTGCCTGAATGTACCAAACTGGCAGGCAGGCGGGAGCGGATCCAATTGACCCTCCGCTCATTGTGTCTCGCACACGGCAGCCCTTCTGCTGAGAGGAACGTCTGGGTTTTGTCCAAGATGCACTCGAGACGGCTCCCCGGGGGAACAGCTGCCTAATCTGTTTGCATCTGCTGAACAACCAGCTCATTCTATCCTGTAATTGAGAAGGCAGCCTGATCCCTACAGGCAGCACTGGCTACTGTGCCTCTGAAAATACCAGCAGCGCAGTGTTCCCTGTACACGGTGCGCTGGGGTGGCCACCCAGGCCAGATTCAAAGTCCACCCAGCGGATTAACAGAGCGCCTGCAGCTGGCAGCATGTGTGGCTCTGGGTGGTGGATTTCCGCACATGCTTCGGTGCATGGAACAAAACTTATTCTGCACCTGGATGGAAAAAACGCAAGGGAACTCTGCAGGTGCACCAGCTTGCTATTTGGCTTGACAATGTCAAGCAAGCTGCATGGGGCTGATTCACAATGGCTACATCTAGACTGGCATGATTTTCCGCAAATGCTTTTAACGGAAAAGTTTTCCTTTAAAAGCATTTGCGGAAAAGAGCGTCTGGATTGGCACGGACGCTTTTCCACAAAGCACTTTTTGCGGAAAAGCGTCCGTGCCAATCTAGACGCGCTTTTGCGCAAAGCAAATCTGAGCTGTCTACACTGGCCCTTTTGCGCAAAAGCTTTGTGCAAAAGGGACTTTTGCCTGAACAGGAGCAGCATAGCATTTCCGCAAGAAGCACTGATTTCTTACATGAGATCGTCAGTGCTCTTGCGGAAATTCAAGCGGCCAGTGTAGACAGCTGGCAAGTTTTTCCGCAAAAGCAGTTACTTTTGTGGAAAAACTTGCCAGTCTAGACACAGCCAATTACATTAACGCTGGCAGCATAAAGGGGCCTTAAAAGGCAGTTATAATTGACTCCGCGAGAATCCAGTCACCGTCAATATGGAGCTGAGGGCAGGCCATTGCTGTAGCCGTTTGGACAGGAGATAAATTGGGGGATGATTAAACTATACAGCCCACGGCCATTCTCTGCTCCCCAAACATTTCTGCAAGTAGAAACAGAGTTTAAATTAGAGGCTGGTCTGAGTGCAGCAGAATTATCTCTGATCCTTGACATCGGCCACCGCCCTGAGCACAGGATGGGGTAATTACAAATCGGGCTCTGGACACTGGGAATGCTTGACCAGAAAGGCCCAAATTAGGGATGTAAGAGATTAGTCAACTATCGGATAATCAGAGAGAGGTAGCAAGGAGGGGAGCAGAAGCCAGTGCTGGGGGGGCTGGCTTTTAAGTTGGCTCCCCCCAGCACCATCTCTGCAGGGGGACAGGGGAGGGAGAGGCACAGCAGGAAACGGCGCAAGCGGGGACTGAAGCCGTCTCTGCTTCTGCTGCAATTCTGCTTTTAAAAAGTACAAGAGCCCCGGCAAGGCTCTTGTCCATTTCAAAGGCTGAGGCGCCACAGGGAGTGCGGGGCTTCTGGGGGCATCCCTGCTGGCCCCACACTCCTTGCGGTGCTTCCGCTTTTGATCCGGAACAAGAGCCTGGCAAGGCTCTTGCTACAGTCCAAAGGCGGAGGCGCTCTTATCGACTAATCGAATAGTCGATGGAAATCCCATCGACTATTCAATTAGTTCATCTACATCTAACATCTCTTGCCCAGATCTCAACCTGCGGATTAAAAACAACCAATAAAAAGACACAAAATGCAAGAGGTGGCTGTTTTCCATTTTATTATTCTAAATAAAAACCACACTTTGTGCTGAACGATGGAGTATAAAAGAATCAGATGTACAACGATTTTAGACATCTACTATTTGGGGTGGAGGGGGGTTTACAAAATATACAAAACTTTACAGCAAATAGATAGTAACCACTTAAATATCAGGTCAGTACCTACTATTAACTTAATGAAAAGTTAGACAGCAATTACAACTTCTTTTCTTAAAGAGATCTGGACCCTTCGAGAGGGGAGGAACGAAAGCAAGCCCCGTTTGTGTTTCAGAACTAGCCACAGCACGCTCGTGCAGTTGTGTTTCTCATGGGGATGCTGCCACCCTTCTGGTTAAAGCGAGGCCGTTTGCTTCAAGCTTCATTAGCGTGGCGGGAGCCGGGATTAAACCGAACGCTACAAGGCAGCTGGACTCCCTGACAGGATGTCCTGTAGCCCTCCCGGTTCATCTCCAAGGATCCCAAAGCACTTTACAAACATGAATTAAACCTCACCCCCTCCCCCATGCGAGGTAGGTATCGGTTAGTATCCGCACGTGTACAGACTGGGGGGACTGAGGCAAACCCACACGCCGCACCAGTGGGAAAGCTGGGAAAAGAACCAGGCCCTTCCCTTCCAGCCCCATTTGGTCTACCAGAAAATATTGTTTCCTTTCCCCATTATGTGTTTTGCTTTAGAAACAGAGCCAGGGTGCAGTGAGCCAAAAACCAGCACTGGGAATGAGCCAGGGGAATCAGCAGGACATGCTTGGTGTGGGAGAGCTGGGTTTGGGACTCTAGTGCCAGGGATCAGAGCAGCCTGCTTTGGTTCTCGGATGGAAGCGGGAGAGAGAATCCTTCCATCTCTGAACTCCAATTAATCCCGCCTGCCGGATTCGCAAAGCAACATGGCTCTCGAATACCACTTGACTTCCTAACCTGGCTGGCCTGGCCCCACAGCAGCCCCGTTGCAAAGGGCGGGAAGAAAATGGAATGTTAAAGATGGGGGCACCAAGTAAGAGAAGACCCCGGACCCTGCTGCAGATTCGTCGTTGTGGCTGGGGTTAGGGACTTGGTCCAAAGCTCACCAAAGCGGCTGCCTGACTCCCATGGAGTTTGGGTCTGACATACTGAGGGAGGGTGGAGGGCTGCACAGGACGAGGCCTAGATACCCCGGCTGGGAGGAACAGCTCAGGTTTTGGCCTCTCCGATTTGGAAAATTCAAGGAGGAAACGTGAAAGGAGGAAACTCGTGGCAGCGGTTTGCCTATCAGAACTTTCCCATTTGCCCGCAGATAACGCTTTGCGGCTGCTGATCTCTGAGGGGACATCTACACGACAAAGATCGAAGCTGCCGCTGTCGATCTCCCAGGGTTCGAATGAGCGGGTCTGGCAAATTCGACCTGAGAGGGGCGCTCTGGTCGATGCCGGTGGCCCCGCTTCCACGAGGAGTAAGGGAAGTCGAAGGGAGAATGTTCTCTCTTCGCCTTCCCGCAGCGTGGACACTGTCAAAAGCCAAATTAAGATACTTCGACTTCAGCCACACAATGAACGTAGCTGACACCACGTAGCTTATTTCGACCTTATCCTGTAGTGTAGACGTACCCTGACGGGTTTGACCAGCGATGGGCAACCCGGGCTAGCAGGTGGCCCTCCATCTCAGTGGCCCGCAAGACTGTCGTCACCAAGAGGGTCTCCCAGGATAGCACTAAAAGGCCGGGGTGCCTAGACGCAGAGGGAGCGCCTGACTCTCCCAGTCCATCACAGGTGCAATCAGCCAGCACCTCCCGTCACTTTAGTGACACCCGTAGGAAAACCAAATGTCCGGCGGGCTACACAGAGACGCCTGAGGGGCCGTAGTTTGCCCCCCACTGGTTCTGATGGAGAGCGCAAGCGGGTCATTCAAACCTAGGGAAGAGCCACAGACACAGAGCAGGGGACTTGCAGACGTCGCCACAGACAGGAGCAAAGAAAAGGGGGGCAGGTGCCTGCCTTCCCTGTCCCCTAGTCTGGAGCAGGGCGCTGCTGGCCCGTTAGTGTTTCAGGGCCCAAGCGTGTCTCTCCCTTTTGTTGTGCCAGAAAAGCTTTCGCTTCACAGCTTTGCTTTGGGTCTGCCGAACGGTGACCTCGGCTTCTGGGAGGCGTCTGAATGATGCCTGGCTAGCTACCTGCCCCCCAGCCTTTTCATCTCCTTACGCCCTTTGGAGGAACCCCCAAACAGGCTCAGGCCTGCAGCCCACCTATCCCGCGCCAGACGGGGGAGGGAAAGGTGTCTGACGCCGCTCTACGACCATCACCGGCTAACCTGCTCCATTTGCCACGTCTGCCCGGCGCTCACAAAGTTGGGGCAGATTTAACGCTGAACTAGCTTTGTCATTCCTCTTTTAAACACCTTCCAGGAAGGGCCGAGTTTGCAGCCACCCAGGGCTGTCTGCCTACAGAGCACCCCTTTGTTACCATTTCACAGACCGGGGTGTGCAAAGCTCAGCCGATGGGCTCGCCACCCCTGGCTTTTCTTTGGCAGGGGCACTGGTACTAGAACGCACGTCGGGGCAGAGGTCAGCTGGGCTCCTCAGGCTCTGGGCAGGGTAGCCTTCTGGGAGGGTGGTGGCGCTGGCTCCCCGTGCGAGCCCTGGCATGGCTCAGAAGGAACGCTGAAGGATGCGTTCAGGGCTCCATCTCCATCCCTGGCACTCCTGGGCCCTGAGGACGGGCCGCCACGGCACCGATACCGCAACGATCGGCGGCAGGCGAGGAGGGATTCCGTGGGTGCTGCCACCTGTGGCCAGGGACGTGCCCCTCTGCAATCCCCCCCGGCCCACAAAATCCAACTGGCAGCACTGGCTCCACTCCTGACACTAAACAACAGGGGACGAGCAAGGGGTTCACGCCACAATGAACTCCCAAGGCCCTCGCCCCCTCGGACCTCATGTTCCTGCCTTCCTTGTGCACCAAGTCATCACGCCCCTCCTGCAAACCTCCTTTTGGGGCGCAATTAACTCCTAATGCCCTCGCCCCCTGCAGTCCCCCCGTTACCCTTTGTTACTAGTGGGTTTTCCACTGGACTCAGGAACAGAGAGCAGAGCACGGAGAAAGGTAACGCCACTGGGCTGTTGTTAAATCCAGGGCATAGGGTGGGGAGGGGTGTCAAAAGGGAACATGGGGGGGGTCATTTCCCTAGGATGCTACATAATACTCATAAGTGCTCTTCATCGTCAACACGCTATACAGACACTAATTAGTTCATCGTCACCACGCTCCAGGGAGGTAGGTAGGTACCACAAGTATTACTGCCCCCATTTTACAGATGGGGAAACTGAGGCAGAGCGGTGCAGCGACTTGCCCAAGGCCACAGTGAAGTTAGTGTCAGCAGTGGGGTGAGAACCCAGGAACACCCCCGTTGAGGGTGTCCAGACCCAGCCTCTCAGCCCAGGCACACCGACTCCCGCTAGCATTGCTCGGGCAGGTGTGCTAAATAGGAGCGTGGATGTTGCGGCACTAGCGGTGATTCTGGCTAGCCAGCCAGGCTCTGACCTGGGGGGCAGCGGGCTTGGACTCAGGAGGCTCCAGGAGGGAGGGGAGGGGGGACAGCTAGCGCTGCAACGGCCAGACAGCTATTTGTAGTGTGCTACCTCGGGCGAAGCTCAGGTGAGCTTGTCCCCTCCTGGCTGCAATGTGGCAGAGATCAGCTCCCGGGGCGGGGCGGGGGGGGAGGCTGTCCAAGTGTTTCGTCCGGTGACAGCGTGCGTGTATGGAAGTGCAGGGGCCTGTCCAAAGCTCGCTGGGGCGCCGAGCCCTGAGCACTTCCAGCTTGTGAGGTAGTTTGAGTCACCAAGGGACGGCTCTCCTCCAGGCGGCCTTGTCTGCCACACCTGGGCCTTTCCACTCCCTGCCTCAGGGCAGCAACGCTAGAAAAGCCGCCTCTCCCCCCTCAGCGGGTACATGTGAAAAGCAGCCATATTCCCCCGGTGGCCGTTCTGGTACCGGGCGAGGGGGGGGGAGAGGGGTGGGGAAAACCCTGCAGAGCAAAGAATGTTCCTCCTGCAAAGACATTTTTCCAGGAGTTAAGGCAACGGTTTCTTTTCACGCTCACGCCAGAGGCTTTGCACGTGGCCTAGCGCCAGTCCCACAGGGACGCCCGATGCTCTTCCCCTCCCCCCCACTACTGACTCGGGGAGGCGGCCGAGTTACAGAGCCAGACCCCCAGCTGTCGGAACGGGCTCCTGCAGTCAGAGGAACGTTGCTCTTCGGCATGGGGTGCGGGGGGACAAGGGGGAAAGCTGTGTCTCTGCCAGCATTTGCTACGTACCTCCCCTGGCCCAGTGATTCCTCCCCTTGACAATCTATCCTGGCTCACGGTGAGACGAAGCTCAACCCCCTATTCTCCTATTACTCCTTCATTTCCTCAGCTCCCAAATGGGACTTGCAAACTTCAGAAGAGATAGGAGGGAGCGTATGGGGGGGAAGGGGATGGGTGTTAACCAGTAACTGCGGCTTTGGCTCAGATGGGCGGCTAGAAGTCACGTTGCTCCCTCTTTCTGGCACCGAGCTGAATTCCTGGAGCTCCCCTTGCTGCCTGCCAACCGCCCCTCACCCGCTAAGGCCTGACTCTGCTTAGCTCCTGTCAGGAGCAGCACAGCCCCAGCGGTGCCTAAAATAAAACCAGCTAGTCTCTTTGGCCAGGCTTACACTAGAGGGGACGTTCGACTCGAGATACGCAGCTCCAGCTATGTTAATTACGTAGCCGGAGTCGCCGTACCTTCATTCGAGTTTCCCCGCCATCTCCACAGCGGGAGCCCGACAGGAGCAAACGTTCCTGTCGGTGTCCCTTACTCCTCACAAGAGCTGCTCCAAGGGTGCCCTCTGAGTTCGATTTGGTGGGTCTTAACTAGACCCACTAAATCAAACTCCGGAAGATCAATTGTGGCGGTGTTGATCTTCCCAGGAGTGAAGACGTGGCCTTGGTGTCCACCATCTTCCTGTCTTGATTCTGCTCCTCTCTGAGGGTGCTAGGATCCTAGCAGCATAAATCTATATGTGATCTCAAAGCCACAGGAGGCCCACCGAGGGTTAACCTGCTCGGTGGCGAGAGCTGTCTACGTATGAGACCCAAACCTGGCAAGACGTGCCAGTCCACGGAACTCAGCGGCCTCTAAGAGGCCTGGAGGTAAGCAAAGAAAATAGGTTTCTTGGTTCAGCTCACGTGCTGTTAACGTACAGGACGCGGACAGAAAAAATCGCTAGGCAAGGCCAAAAAAAGAAGAATTCCATCCACGATGTCTGACCGTTAAAACGAACCCCCTCCCCCAAAGTAGCTACTTTGCAATTAACGTTTGCTGCCCCGCCCCCAACACAGCGCCGCCCAATCAGCTGTCCGTGGTTTTCTCCGCGTCTTTGGAATGAATTATGTACATAAACGTCTGCTCGATGGTGAAATCGGGTGGCAGGCTGCCTTTGTGGACACCTATATGTTTGCTCATGAGGTTTAAGGTGGAGCTGTAGTGCCCGCACACCGTGCATCGGTACATGAGGGCTCCCGAGTGTGTCTTCAGGTGGCATTTGATGGTGGAGCGGCCGCGGAAGAATTTGTGACACACTTTGCACTGATAAGGCTTTTCTCCGGTGTGGATTCTTCGGTGGTAGTTGAACTCGCTCGTGTGGGCAAACCTCTTCCCACAGACCTTGCAGCTGTACTTGCTGTTCCCTGGCTGGTTCTGCAGCGCGGGGTCCTCGCTCAGGAATTCCTCCGGCAGCTTCCTCTTTTGGAGGGCTTGCTGCTGGAGCCGGTCTCCGAAGCTGGGCCGCACAACGTCCAGGCTGCCGCCACATTTGTGCTGGCTGACGTGGTAGCGGTAAGCCGCCTCCAGCTTGAAGCTCTGGCCGCAGAAATGGCAGCGGAAGACGGTCTCTTCCATGTTCTGATGGACGGCCATATGCTTCTCCAGCAGATGCCGGTCCACGAAGCTGCTGGCGCAGATGGAGCAGGAGAAGATGGAGATACCCAGGTGGGAGAGGGTGTGCCACATCAGGCTGCAGAGGCTGAGGTGCCGCTGGTCGCACACGCTGCACATTTGGCCTTTCAAGTTCACGTGGTCGAGGATGTGTCCCCGGACGGTGTGGAAATCTTTGGCCAGTGGCTTCCCGCAGGCGGTGCAGACCAGCTCCGAGCCAGGGACCCCCCCAAAGAGGTTGATCTTGCCGGGCAGCGGGTCGCTGGGGTGGACGACAACGTTGTTGTCGAACACCCCCTCTCTCCGGTGGAGGGTGAGTTGCCACTGGGTGAAGAATTTGGTCTCGCACATATCGCAGGAGAAGAGGAAGATCCCGATGTGGGACAGGACATGGGTGACCCGGGAATTCCGGTCCTGGAAGTGGGTCTCGCAGACCTTGCAGTTGCCAGTGAGCAAGTCCACATGGTCCCTGGCGTGCTGGCGGATCAGCTGGATGTTGGGTTCCAGAACCTTCCGGCAGACCTGGCACGGCATGGCCTTGCTCTCCTGGCCATCGTTCTCAAAGGCCAGCTCCTCTTCGCTGTCATCACTCAGCTCAATGACCTCCTCCACCGGGCCCAGCTCCTCGCCGGCGTCTTCGAAGTGCAGCTCGTCCGCCCCTAGATCCTCCAGCTGCAGCTCCTCCATCTGCCCGAAGCCCTGGTCTTTGGAATGGTCGCTGTTGCTGGGGCAGGAATTGCTCCCGGTAGAGATGTCCAGCGAGGCGTCAGCCGGGAAAAAGCTGGTTTTGCTGTAGTCCCCGTTGCTCTGGATCTTATAGGGCTGGCAGGCACTTGCCGTGGTTGGAACAGCCAGGTTGACGTTGCCCAGGCCGGGCTGAGACATGGCATTGCCGGCCGAAGCAAACTGCCCTGTCAGTTCTTGCTCTTCCGTCTTTGGAGGCGGCGGATGCATCAAGGGCAGGTTATGGCCGGCTTCACCCAACCTGTCATCCTCTTTATAGTCCTCTGCCACTTCCCCTTGCAAGATGCAATTCCGCTCGGGGCCAAAGTGCTCCACACTGCTCCGGAGTTCGCCCAGGGAATGGTTTGGTTCTGTTGCCGTGCTGCCCAGACAGCCTGACCGGCCGTCTCCCGCTCCAGAGGGCTGCTTGGTGATGGCTGAGCTCTCCAAGTCGGGGAAGGTGGAGTGGCAGGCCCTGAGCAGATCCTCCATACCCAGCTTCTCCGCCACCTCGTAGATGACGCCCACGTTGATGAGGTCCGTGAAGAGCTCCGAGGTGTAGACGAAGCTCAGGATCTTCTCGAAGTTGGTCGGCGTGATGAAGTCCACCACGTAGGTCCGGGCGGCATCCAGCCCCGTGTTCAGGAAGAGGTTCTGGAAGTAGCCCGCCGCGCAGGCCAGCACGGCTTTGTGGGCGGCAAAGGAGCGGCTCCCCACTACGATGGTGACGTCGCACATGGTTTCCGACAGCCTGCACTTGTTGAGTTCCTTCAGCAGGTTGTTGGGGTGATCGGTGCTGTGGAGTTTGATCCTCATGCCCATCTTCGCAGGTGCTCAAAAGGTCCCTCCGGCCGGGTTGGCTTCTCGTTCATTCGTTCGCCGGGTGCTTCGCTTTCAGGGGCTGGCAGGGCGAGGGGCTCTAGAAAGAGGAAAACGCGAGAGTTTGCACTTCAGACTCGTCGCTGCTTTGGGGTGAAACGTCCCCACGCTTGCAACCAGGGAACGAGGTGGCTCCATTAGTGGAGACTGTCTCTCTAATTACCCGTTCAAAATACACAGAGAGGTGGGGGAGGGGGGTGTCACAAACGAAATGACAGAGAGAAGCAACTGCATTCTTGCGACTCTCCTAAACGGGGGCGTGGAATTTGGCGTAAGGACTATTAGGGCAGCGCTCCAGACCTGCTGAATTCTGTACTTACATCGAATTCTTTAGGTTTTTAAGACCAAGTTAGACAAACGTGCCAGGAAGGGTTGTGGTATCCTTAATCCTGCCTTGGCATGGGGGGGAGGTCCTCGAGGCCCCATCCATCCCTGAATATCTGGGATTCCATTCCGGTCAGCTTTGTATCCCGTCCTCACCACAGTTACATCTGAAACCTGGTCCAGACTTTCAAGTTGGGTTGACACAGGTGATGTGCTCGGGAAGGATGTAAAATCCCGTTTAGTTAGTTAACTGGTTCAACGGTAAGTTTCACCAGTTCACTGATTAAACGGGGGTGGGCAGCGGCCCCCGCACCGCAGCAGAGGCTGCTCCAGCCTGGCTGCTTCTGGCTTCGCACTGGGCTGCCGGCTCCCAGCCCATGAAGGCTGGGAATCGACAGCATCACAGGGGCCAGATGTGGCAGGGCCCCCCCTCCTCTCCCCGGCCAGCCGCTGCTTTCAGCCCGGGATGGTGGCCGTCAGCTCCTCCGTCCCCTTCCTGCCACTTATGGCCCCGCTTGGAACCTGTGGTGGGCCATGGATGGGGGGCTTCTCCTGGGGTAACAGTCAACTGTTACCCGGTAAGTGTCACCCATTAAGGGCGATGCTTACCAGGTAACCAGTTACCCGTTCACATCTCTAGTGCTCAGGGGGGTGAAAAACTCACACCTCTGAGAGCCATCAAGAATTCTGCCTCTGGGAGAAGTGGACTCCTCACAGCAATGGAAAACCCCCTTCTATTGCCCTAGGAAGCATACAGATGGGCAACAACAGCCCGGCAGCTATGATGCTGTAGCACTTGCAAAGTGGGAATGGTTCGTTCCACATTACGTGGCAGGATGAGCCCGAGTTTGCTTCTGCACAATTTAGCAGGTATAACGACGCTGATGGATAAAGAAGTGGAGGGTTAAGGATTTCTTCATCCCCTCTTGCATGGCACAGAGGCTAGACTCACCATTATTTCTAATGCCCTGACTACACACAATCTAGCTCTCTATCAGACAGACCAGGTCAACTCCTGTACGCAGACACCGCTGAAGGAATCGCTACTTTTCTTGAGTCATTGAGATCCAAAATACCTCCGGACAATTCCCACGTCACCACCAGAGTTGGGGGAAATTAAAAGCATATGCAGTGGCAGCCCAGAAGAGGCTAGTGCTGCAGTTAGTCTCAGCGGTTCATGAGTGAATCTAGTTTAGGATTTTGCAGCAAAACAGACTGAAAAATAAATGTCTGCAACTCGAAGAAGCGCACGAGCTTAGAGTTTCACTGGCTCTGCAGACTCCTCCTGCCACTGAATATTTTCAGATCTTCCTCCCGCTGCTCCATCATGGGTACTTTTGTTTGCCAGGCTGGATCTCACTTCACGCCTTGCCTCTAGTTCAGTGGTTCTCAAACTTTGTGGCCCGTAGACCACCTGGCTCAATGCAAATCTTTCTGAGTATCATCAGTTGCTAATGGAAAGTGACCGTTAATTACATCATTATGCCTGAGCCATTTTGCTAGTGCAGCAGCGAGGGAGAATGGTTTCATATAAATGATTAAACAGATGAAGCATTTTAACTTTCTCGTGTTAGTTTATCAAACTTCATTTTAAATCAAAGTAAAATATTAATTTATGTCCGACAAAAAAGGTTTTGGTGTTTTATTTGTGGCAGGGAACTTTTTTTGGGTCCGGGGCTGAGCTCGAACCATGGACCACTTGGGAGAGGGCCGTGGACCACTAGTGGTCCGGAGATCGCACTTTGAGAACCACTGCTCTAGTTCTAATTTCTCTAAATCACTTTGAATTATTTCTCTGTTCTCACCGGCATCGGCCACGTTTTTCTCCACAGCACAGCCTACCACTGCCCCATCTGCCATCTTTCTGGACCGTCGTTACCTAAGACTGCGATAGCCATCCCTGCAAGATCCAGCTAGGTCCCTTCAACGCAGCCTGGACCCCCTTTTTGTTTATGAGTCTTGGGGCAGTTTTCAAATCAGACAGACTACTCCACATCAGCACGTCTGCACAGTAGCAGCGTGCTTTGAACCTCAGCCCCGCCAGCCCCTTCTCCAATTTCCCAGGACACCAAACAAGAGAAGAGGAAGATCCAAGTAGAGTGGCAGGTAAAGGGGGCTGTTGTGTGTGGATGTTAAAGCAGCAATGCTACCCTGAATGTAAGGGCGGTTGGTCACTCCATTAGCAGCGGCTCTGCCTACTTAGCACAGGCACAGCCTCAGGCTGGGTGTAGTGCCAGTGTTTACTACATCCCTTTCTTCCCTCTGCTAGACACCGAATTCTCCAGAGGCCAGAAGAGAGGATGGAGTCCTCAGGGGGGGAACAGCTGGGGAGAGAGGGGGAAAACATGAAGGGGAATGTAAGGGCGGTTGGTCACTCCATTAGCAGCGGCTCTGCCTACTTAGCACAGGCACAGCCTCAGGCTGGGTGTAGTGCCAGTGTTTACTACATCCCTTTCTTCCCTCTGCTAGACACCGAATTCTCCAGAGGCCAGAAGAGAGGATGGAGTCCTCAGGGGGGGAACAGCTGGGGAGAGAGGGGGAAAACATGAAGGGGGGGCTGCCGTGTATCACCCAAGGTGGGAAGAGGGGGGGGAGGGGAAGAGGGGAT